AAAATACTTAATCTGGGGGGGAATTCTGCACCTATAATGTATCTGTTGTCTTTCTCATGATATCAAGAAATAGCTGGCAGCCCTAGTTAAGCATAAATTTTTCAAGAGGAGAATTTATACTTGAAATGCACATTCTCCTTAATAAACCATCAAATCACAAATTCTCCAAAATCCTTTTTAAAGAGTTTTGTGACATGAAACAATGGATATTCTAGGAAATATCTGTTTAGAGGTACTAGAGGGAAATAGTTTTAGGTTGAAACTATTAGCCATTGATGAAGAACTCTGATTTAATCCTTTTGTATTTTCCGAATGCTTTATAGATGTGGTAGCGGAGCAGTGTAAAGCAAAATGCCAGGCAAACTCAAAAGTGGAAGCATTGAAGCAACTTAATGCATTTTCCTCTACTGGGATTGCAACAGATACACTGAAAAATGCATGATTTTAATTTTAGCCTTAATGCCATTAAGACAGCTGTATCATTCTGTCCTAATGCATTTGACTTGCTAATTATTATTTGTATTTTATATAAGGTTTGACCTTTCTCACTCTGCAAGGTCATTTCAATGGTTACAAATTGAAAGCAATAAACAGCTTGTTTATTGCTTAAAAGAAAGTCAGGTGTCTCTCCATGGAAACCAGCTTTCATAGAAATCCTGTGAATGCCAGAGAATTTTCTTTTCCTGCTTACCAGTAAATGAGCAGTAGAAGTACACACTGTGCAGGTCTTTATGCAAATGTGTGTGTATCCCCCTCCCACAAATCAGTGATCTATGGTCTGGCTGATAATGAAGTGATAAGTAGGGATTTAGTTAAATTGCTCATTACCTACTGGTAGGGTATGAAGCTACGGGTAATCATATTTAATTGTTCCAAGACTTACAAATTCTTTAGAACCTTAAACTGTAGTGTTGCCTCATGTTGTCACTTGCCACTGCAAAAATAGTCAGATAAACCATACAAACCCTTCTGCATTGTGATTAAAGAGGAGTATGGGTGCGTTGTTGAATAAATCGTTGAAATAATTTGGAAACTCAAATGTTTGAGTTATGTAACACTATGTACTTGAAATACGCAGTAACATTTAGAACTGCTGATTAGCGATCCTCTTTCACTAGGTGACACAGTTTGCATTCTGTTGCTTGTCTTTTTTTCTACTGAACTTTAAACTCTCCTGTCGCACAGCTCCTAAGGAGATCAATGTTGCATTTGCAGTGGTTTAGAAAAAGGTTATCTATGGATTGTCTTCAGTTGGTTACAGTTTGTTTTAAAAGTGGCATTTGCAACTTAAATCTTCCTTAACATAGACATTAACTAAGTAAAACACAACTCAAATTTATTTATATATCAGCTTGAACAACAAACTAACTACTTTTAATGTGTTATCTGATCCAATGCTTTGCTGTATTGTAGCAGTGTTGCTGCAAAGAGCTACTTGTGCAGTTTCAAATGTGGTTTTCCTTAGGTCATACGGAAGGCTAACTATAAAAACATCAGTTGGGGAACTAGTGCGGAACTAGTGAGTTTTAGGTTGATCTTTTCACCCCATCCCCTTGAAGAAAACTTGCTGCTGCACGTGTATGGGTCTGAACTTTCGGTGCAAAATTAATGAGTCTTCTGTAATTCAACAGCATATCAAGGGATTAGTTACTGATTTTTGGCAGTCTTCTGCTCAGGCTTCACTGAATAACTTCACAGCAGAATCTTCATGGTGATCTTAATTCTTTCGCTTTATTAATACGTTTCTTTTGAGTTGTGATAAATTGGGCATTATCACTGTTAACAAGCCCTTAAGGTCAAGAGTTGTCAGAAAGCTGTTGGCAGTAGTAAGGTCAGTTTCTACTTTTAAGTAAGTATAAATAATAAATAGCGATGAGGCTAAGAATGAACAGCAGACTGAAGAAAGTGGGCTGGAGTCTTTTCTGTCTGGAGTAACACAATGCTTGTTGAGCCCCATATGTAGCAGTCGCTGCAAGGCTCCCTGAATCATTGCTTCTAGAAGTGTTTACTGACCAGCATTGAGGGGAGGGGGAAGGGTGTTCAGTGTCATTGCTCTGGTTTTATTTTTTTTTCATCACAGCTGGCAGGAGTTTTCCAGAAAAATGAGCAAGTCAAAAGATGAGCAGTTATCTTGATGCTTGTTTGTCTCAAAGCACTTTTAATCTGTGTTTACTGGGGATAGTTCATAGCTGCATTGTACAAGTGCACACCCTACACCAAAGTATAGCCAGCTACCAGAATTAAAACAATCATGTACTAGTGAAGGCATGAAACCTGTATTTCTAATTAAAAATGTCCTCATTCAGAATGCCATTGCTTTAAATGGAATTTGACAAGTTCACACCTTTCACAGGAAGAGGAGAACCGTTTGGAATTTGCACTGACGGTTATTTAGAAGCTTAAGTGTCTCTTCTCAGAGGCTGCATCACCAATAGCATTGGTGCCATAAAGCTAGGTCAGGACTTCAGTTGAACAGCTGTTCTTTGCCACAACTTGATTTCCACTCTTGCATATGACATGCAGTCTTGTTTAACCTGTGAGGTGCTATGGATGCAAGGCAAAAGATGAAATTATACTTCATAGCTTCGTAATAACACAATTATCAATTATGTAATGTCATATATAATAAATATCTTCTTCAGATGGTTGTTTAAATTACTTTCTTCCAACTGTGTCCTGCAGTGCTGGTTTTGCATGTTCCCATAAGGTTATACTTTCTTTTCGTTGAGAAGTATGCTGCAGCTTGATGTTACCATGTGAATTGTGTGGCACTAGTTATTTTCTGTGCATTTCTTTTTGTCCCTTGTAGATGTATCCGGATGAGTCTCATCTCAGGTTTGTCTCCTCAAGTGTTGTTGATGGCTGTACTAATTTTCCCTTGAGAATAACTTAGTAAATTGTAAAGATGCTTTTCAAGACGCTTACACTTTATTAACCTCTTGGCTGGCACGGTATTTTGCATTGTTTCTTGGTTTTGAGGCGATTTTCATCTTCTCTTGACAAATTAAAACAATATTTGCCAATGAGTGGACAATGTGGACAACCTCACAGAGTTGCCTAGGGGGCAGTTCGTGCCCATATTGGGTGGCATACTGATGGTACTAATTTCCAGAGGAATTTTGAAATTCATTAACTTTTTGGAATTTGAGTTCTGGATACTGTTTCTAACTTTCTCAAAGGCAGTAACAATAGTTTCTTGCATCACTTCTGGAATAAACTCAGTTGAGATACTGCAAGAAAGACTTGATTTTGTTTTGGAGTAAGAGCATGCCCATCACTCTTTGAGGTTTTTAAGCTATTAAAGGCTGCCTCAGACATCCCTCGCCAAAAAACTGCTAATGTGGTAGTGTTTGCTGAGGAAATATCACTGCATGCCTGGTTTTGGTTTGGTTTTGTGGCAGTTTGAGGTTGTTTTTTTTCTGCTTCAGATGGTTGTTTTGCTTGTGTGGAGCTTTTAGGCGTGAGAGTGAGGAGTATCTTGTAGAGGCACTGTGATATTGGAGGAGCATGGGGAATGGCTTGAGTAAGGCTTCCTCATCTGTGGCTCAGCTCCAACAATCTGTTTCATCTAACCTGGTACCGCCTCTCCTGTACCACAGATAATGCAGGGGTTTGCTGAGGTAATACCATGACAGCAAAGCTCTTAAAACAGTTGCCAGAAGATCTGCTGCAGAGCTTTAGAAAGCAAAGGCTTAGAAATAGGTCAGTAGCAAAGCTCCAGTGGAACTGTAATAAACATAACTGGCCCTGGCTGCGAGTGAAGTTTTCCAGTTATTATCTTATCCTGCAATTGTGAAAGTCTGTCTTGCTGCATGTTTTTAAGTGTGCAAATCTTTGTTCGTTGTGAAACCTCATATCCTGGTTTTATTTGTTGGGTTTTTTACTGTTTTAAATTGCCACGCCCCAGTAATTTTTCTTGTTACATATGCGAACTCAGTTATCTCCATCCACTAAATTGTACTTTTCATCTTTCTCTTTTCAATCCCTGCACCAACATGATGCAGGATCACTTCAGGAACAAAGGATCAACAAACTCATTTCAGGGAAATGCATTTTGTGTCTCTCAGTCACGATTCCCCAGTGTCAATTTTCTGTCTGAACCATCATTTCTGTTCTGCCTCTCAGCTAAGACAGATATTTTAGACACCTTTGGAGCAAAATTTAAATCTCTTTCCATATGCAAACATTTGCATACTAATTTATGGTTTATTTCTTGGTTCTGTGAGTTATTTCTAGTCCTGGCTTCCTGAAGCTGTGTTTTCTGTTGCTTGGAAAACTCCTCTGATGCTTGTATTGGTGCCACAAATGATACCGCTGTGATGATGATTATGTTGAATGTTCCCTTAGTGCTGTATAAGGGTAGCTTCACTAGCATATACGTGTAATTGCCTATGTTGATTGCTGGTACCATAGTAACTGAAGTAAAAATATTTGAGGATGGAAGTCTGAGCGTATTGTGTCAATGTAGAAGCTGGGCGAGCACACTGGTAAAGGTGGAGATCAGGGGTGATCAGAGTCAAAGGGAGGATCAAAAATACTGACCGTGGAGAAGAAATGACCCTGCACATAAGGCTGATTTATATTCTGATTTCTAGATAACAGCTGTATTCCACACAAATGCTTCTGGAGTGTCTGTGTGCATATTGCTGATTCTCCTGTATTGCTCGGATGTTCACTGCATGTGTTCGATTTCTCTGGATTACCAGTTGTAAATCAGGAAGAGGGGGATTTCTAGTGAGAAGGAAGCAGATGCCTTTTAACTAAGGCCTAAATTAACTTGATTTTTTGTGGTGAAACTTGTGTAAAATCAGTGTACTGAGGACAACTGAGCATCTCTGAAAAATTCTGAAATGCATACATCTGGAATTCAGATGAGGGGAGGTGAAATGTACCTTGGCTCTTCAGGTCTGTAAATAAATCCTAATAATAGAATGCAAGATTAGTATTTGCTTTGTTGTTGTTTTTTTAATCTGAGTATTTTACTTTTTGCCATTTTAAAGCTTTCCTACAGTTGGAGAAAAAAGAGCAAAAACTGACCATCGATCAGCCATCTAAAGCAACAAGGAAAAATTATTCTTTCACAAATGAAGAAGTAAGACTGATTGATCGGGAAAACCAAAGACTGCTGAAAGAACTGTCCCGACAGTCTACAAAGCCAAGAAGTACCACACTGAAGAAGCCAGCCCTACCGCCTGCTAAATTGTCCCACAGCGCCCTCAACAGACAAAAGGAGCAGCAAAGAATTGAAAGAGAAAACCTGGTAAGTTTTGAGAACTGATTTAGACGCTGAATTGAGAAGGGCTGTTTGTTGTCAGATGAATTACTGCTAAATACTTACAAAACTGGTAAGGCAGCACTTGGAGCTTTACTGCAGTAAGTATGCAATTAATTTCCTTTATTATGCTGTTTGTGTAATAGTTCATGTGGCTCTTTGAGAGGGGAAATTATGCTTTTTTTTCAGATGAAAATAGATTTTACTTTATATGACTTTGCTCTACTTTAGTATCATTCAGCTTAAAAAGAACAACCGTTAGCATTAACATGCTCCTAACTTTGGATAGCAGTCACTGTCCATCCTGCTTCACACGTCATGGGTACTGGTCTCTCAAGGACAGGCTTGCAAAATATAAAGCAATCAATAGGATAGCATTAAACTCTTTATATTTGAAGTACAGAGGATACAATGTGAATGTTAGTTTTGTTTTTTTGATTTATTTTATAGTTGTGCATGTCTTTCAATATTTGTAGTGCTCTGCTTGTATTTGAACATAATGGCAATCACAACTTTAGTGGAAAACATAAGTGCAGACTCATTTATAAGGATACTGGCAGAGTTGTCAAATAACAAAAATAATATTGATTTGAATAAGTTATTTTTAGTGATTGAATTGTCATACATATACTGACATTTTCATATCTCCTCTTTGTTCATTAGTGTGTTTGAAACAGAGATAAAATATAGTTAAAATATTTGGAAAATTTATAATGGAAGTAATTTATTCACTTTTTTCCATCTGTAAGTGTAGGCTGCAATTTCCTTTTAGATAGATAGAGAGATAGATTAGACGTGGAGAAAGTCTAATTGACCCATTCAGGAAAATCCATTGGGTTTTAGATCTTCCAGCTTTCAGACATCTGGATTGTTCAAACTTTTCAAAGTAGGAAAATTTCTCCCCAGCTCTACTAGGCTACAGTTGACCAAATGAACATTATAATTCACATGCTGAAAAAAATTGGCATAAATAGTTTTTTAGGTGTGTGATACTTCTCATTGTCTGGGGAAGAAATGTTGTTAGGTTTTGGTGGTTTTAGGTCGGTAGGAGGGCTTTCTTCATGTGTGGTGGGTTGAGGATTTTTGGTTGGGTTTTTTTGGTTTATTTAAAATGTTGAAAGCAGAACTTGCTCTTCCACGTCAACCTTGATAGTAAGAGTCCACTCTTAGGCTGTAGGAAGGAAGTGCTGCGTCACAGTTAGTTACGGTCTAATAGTAACATACTGTACTACGTAGCAATAGATCATTACAGTAATATTAATGTATATGATACTTTACCGTACGCTTCTGTTTACTCAGTCATAAACCTTTTCTCTTGATATATTCCAATATTTTGTCCATTGCCTTTGCAACTTCTGGATTAAAAATTCAGCAAACCTAAACACACAGTCATTTCACACGTTGCTGTTTTGGTATGTGTTAGATGAATAGTGGTTGCTTGTAGTCTGGGAAACAATATCCTTCATTTACATATTCATTTATGCTTTAGTTGTTGTCGTCAGCAACATGAGTGGACATGTTTGACATAAGAATCATCCCTTAAAATTATATGTTAGGACATCACACTATTTTACCGAGGCGAAGAGCTCCTGAGCGGAGGA